CAAATTGCCTGACACTGGAAAAAAAAAAAAGAGAGAGAAAGCTGCAAATGCCTGGTGAGAAAACTCACCATTTAAAGTTTTACATTCTTTTAGGAAGGGAGAGACTGTTTTTTATTCTACATTTAAACAATGCCTCATGCGGGAGTCTTTATGCTTTCTCGAGCCCTTTGACAAGGTCTGTAATACATTATTTAGTTCTGTCTTTTATTCAGAGAGAGGGGAAAATGCTTTTACCATTACTACGAACTAGCTTTGAGTGCCAAGCAAGGATGAAAGAAAGTCCTTAAACAAAAAAAAAACTTAAACAATCATTTTTTAATGGAAGTTTATTTTTGAAACATGGAAGAAGGAGGAGTTTCATCCTGTGGTTTCTAATTGATATTCAAATTTTTATATTGGGAACATCAACTGTTTGAGACCTTAAAATGTGAATAGTAAGTTCTCTTTCTCAGGCTTGTAACTGGAATCTATCTTCTCATGCAATGCAAAAATCAAAGCAGACTTTCTTCTGTGATAACATTTCTTGTCAGAGGCCAACATGCTGCCTGCCTTGACTGTACAGTGATTTGTTGGGAAGTGGGCAGTCAGTGTTAGTGGATGCTTAGTCCTGAGCTGTACTTTACTCTGCCTCTTCCGAACCCTTACAGGCTTCCCAGGGAGGTAGCCTGAGCTCTTGCTCTGAGCTTGTGACAGGCCAAAGATGCAACGTACGAATAGGTTACAGAGTTTAAATCTACCCTATTGAAACAGCATTTGCTCTTGTTTTCATGCTGTGTGTCTGTGCTATGTATGACACCTTCCCTTTTCCTCTGAAAACAAAACTTTTGCTGATCTGCCTTATGATGTAGCCTCTTGTTTGAAATGAGAACATTCTGATTGAGCAATTTGATTTAGGAAGATTGATCATTTTAATGGTGTTAAAGCCATTAGCTTTAATCTCTCAACCTTCACCCTCTTTTACTACCGGGGTGTGTTGGGCCTGGCCAGCAGCCACACACCCACACAGCTGCTCACACGCTTTGGGAATTTAACTTAATTTATTGCCATAATATATTTAGTTGCCAGTTTGGGTACTGGGAAGCAAAGAAGACAAACACTGAAACATCTTTCCTTCCCCTTTCCCAGGCTCAACTGCACTCCAGACACATCTCCTCCCGTCTTGTTATCTCTCCAGGTTGCTCTCAGTCCCTTTGGTGAGGTGATGGGTGGCACAAGGGACTGGGGTCAGGATGTAGCAGTTTCTCTCTGCCTCTCCTGTTTCTCACCCTTTTCTTCTGCTGCTGCTTCCTTCTTAATTGTTTCCTCTGCTCCAACGTGGGCCCTCTGTGGGCCACAGTCCCTTTGCGGATGTGCCCACTCAGTCATGGAACACCTCCAACTCCTCTGACTTTGTTGTGCCTTCATTCCCTTGTTTCTTTCCTTGTCCCCTTGTACACTCCTTGTCCCTTATGGTGTTCCCTCACAGGTTTGTCTCCTCAGCTTTGGCATTTTCTGCCCTTTCCTCAGTGTGTTATCACAGAGGGGCCACACAAGTGGCTGATGGGCTCTGCTTTGGCACATGGTGGGTGTGTTGCAGAGCCAGCTGGAATTGACTATGACCAGAATCAGACAGCTCTAACCTCTTCCCCAGGGGCCACCCCTGCAGTTTCATGGCTGTGATAAGTGGAGAGCACAGGAGTGCAGAACAGCAACTGCCCAGTTTCAGGTAGAGTTGTAGGCATAGGCAGGTCAGATTGCATCATCATAGGGCCTATTAGCACATCATTTATCAGGAAAGAACCCGGGACAGATCTTGAAGCTCATTCATAATTTTAATTCCGATATATACTTCTACTTCAGGAAAGAACTGAAGCATGAAATCTATGCTTTTCCATGTTGCAAAATAAAGTTAACTGTATGTGGAAAGGAAGTTAATTATGTAATCGTATTTTGGTCTGAAATCCATGCTGAGTCACATTTTGATGTTTTAAAAGCACAGTTGCCAGTTAATTTTCCTTTATAAGCCCAACTTATACTAGAGAAGTGCTACAAACTGCATACATGTATTAATGTATTTTACTGAAAAAAAAAAAAAAAAGTTCTAAAATTTTGTGGTGCAAATTTTGAAAGGCAGCTTGCGTCTGAAACCAGCAGAAAATGGTTGATCCTAACATTGGCTTCGGGTTGCTACCACTCAGCATTCATAGCCAGGCTAGTTCTTCACTACAGTTGTTGGTTCAGGGAGTAGAGATAAATATTGTAAGAGGCAATTACTATTTTACAGCACTTTCATGGAAAATGCTGAGAAAATTTTGTAAAACATGCCTCTGAAAGACTTGGCTGCAAAGAGCTGCACAGGATAGATTGTGTCAGCATTAAGAAGTTTTGTACTGAAAAACATGGAGAATTCTCAGCCTGTAGGATGCAACATCACAACATCATGGCTTGTAGCTGCTCAGAAAGCATGTGGCAAATCAGCTTGTCTGAATCTGTATTAAATGCTTTAGTAAATGCTTTAGAGTTGGACCTGAGCTACAAACATGAGCTTTGAAGCAGAGCTCTGAAATTCCCTCAGACTCTTATTTTAGGGTCTAGTTTGATCTGCTTCTTACACTGAGCTAAGCAGGAGGTTCAGATAAAACCTCAAGGCGCACTGCAGTCTATATGGGACAGATGAAGGATGTAGGATTTTGCCCTAGACATATCATACCAGTGACGATTTGTTAAAATCTGACATAGCCAAAAGGAATCTCTCCCCACGGCTAGAATCTGCCTGTCTTGGGCAATACTTGAAACATTTAATTTTATTTTCTATCAGTATAAATCACCCTTCTTTTGTGCAGAATGAAGGGCCATGCTAGCAATGTACTATACCTTTACTCTCAAAAAAATCCCTAGCCAAAACACTTCCCTAAAATCAGCTATTTAATGCAGCCCCTTTGCCAGCCCATTGCTGCGGGAACTCAGTCTTTCATTTATTTGTGAAACCAGACACAGATTCTTGTGTTGCATGCGGAGTTTAAATTCTAGGTAAGTGTTCTGATTTTTTTTTTTTTAACTTACTTCAGGTGTGACTTTTTCTTTTTTGGTATGAATTCGGCTACCTAAATGGTATGACTGTTCAACAGTACGTTGCTGCTACTTGAATCTTTTTAGGCTTTGAAAGGCATCAACAGTGACTGTAGCTGTTCTGTCAAGGTTGCCAAGTATCGGTTTGGAGCTTGAGTTAGACAAAAGCAATTTGTGGAAAGTGAACTACTTAAAATTAGCGGAGCACTATGTGAGTATCTTTACAAAGGAGATTAATATCTTTAATTTCTACAGCTCTGTACCCCTAGAATCTGTGGCGAGCATTGCAACTAAAGGATTAACGTGGCCCATTCTCATTTTAGAGTAAAATTAGAACAGTTTATCAAAATACTTGCTGAACTGAAGTCAAAGAGGAAAATCCCATCAAATTTAGTAAGGTCAATTTACTGAATCTCCAGGATTTCACCGTGTGTGCTTGGTCATCAGGATTTAAAAAAACTTTTACAAGTTTTGACAGTACTTTATAACATACTTATCTGAGGCACAGTTACCAGATTAGAACATTCATTGTGAGTCTTGGATAAAGTTATTTCTTATTTATATTTATGTATCTTGTCTCTTCTTTGCATTTTAAAACATCACAGAGACATCAATCTTGCATCGCTGAAATCACTGACAAAATTTCCACTATTTTCAATAGATTATAATCAAACCTTTAATGAGTAAAATACTGATGAATATATTATTATTATTGTTACAATTATTATTATTATTGTTGCAATTTTGAAATAAAAATGTAAATGAGAACAGGAAAAAAATTTGCAAGGCAACAAAACCTGATCATTATTATCTGTAACAAGTAAATCTGTAACAAATAAAAAACAGGTACTAAGGAATTGTTTCTGAGTAATGCTGTATATGAAGTATAGTCCATGTTAAACTGACTGAAAATGTGTCTATTTTCACTGTTTATTAAACAATCAAATTTGCTTCTAGAACTCACAATTAGTCTGAGAGTTTATGTGTATTCATATACAGCCATATGTTAATCTTCATTGTGGAAAAAACCCTAAGTTTGTTTTAAAAATTACAACATTGATGAAACTAGAAACTTTAGTAATGAAAAATAGTATGCATTTAAAACCCCTCAAAATGCAATGTTGCAATTATTTAATTACATTAAAATACAACTTTCTAATAATAAATTACTTTTATATGTATTATTAAATATATTTTATTCCATCACTGGAAATAATGTGGATTTATTTAATTTCATTAATTTTATTTATACTGGGAGAATTATTGTTTATTTTGAAATGTACAATTTAAAAACATTGTTTATTTTAAACAGGACTCAAGTTTTGATATCTAAATGATGGTAAGTGTACAATGCCTTTATTCTCTTTCATTATTGAGTGCTTCAAATATGCTACAGAAAACTTGGGCAAATTCAGATTTTGCAGGATTTTTTTAGCTTTTTAGAACAAGTTGTTTTAAAATGACAGTAAACAGTTTTCTGGACACCCACACTTGGTTTCCTCTACTGGCATAGTATAGAATTTTCTCTGTGTAATTACTTCATAACTTGTACACAATAATTTTGTCATATCAATGTTATTGAATGATAACTTTGGCTTCATAAATCATGTTACACAAGTGATACAGACCTCTGTAGTAAACATTATAAAACACTCCAACAGCAGTTACACCCTTTATGTAAACTTCTGCTGCAAATGAAGGAAATGAACCTTGAAACATGTGCACGAATGAATAATGTTACCCGTGTGAGTTGTCCCACTGACCTCAAAGAGACTTCTCAAAGGAGTGAGAACTTTCTCATTATAGTAAACGATTATGGTAATGCCTCAGTGCCTGCAAAATACATATTCCAAGAGGATGTATTTTCTATATAATAATTGTATTTATTTGGGATTATCTGACTGACAATGTTGAAAGAACCAGCCTGGTCTTTTCTGGCTCCTGACAGAAAAATGTTCTTGCAGAGTTTTCCTGACCAAGACGTACTGGGCCAAGCTTTCGAAGATGCGCTAGAAGTACTTCAGCAGCACTCTGACAGAGAAATGCAGTATTCACCAGGTAAAAAAAGACCATTATTCCATTTCATTTACCGCTTTGTATTTTTACAGAAAAGTACATCTTGAAGAACACAGGTGAGAGAGTTACTTCCCAGAGGTGGATTAATGGACAGCAGAGGGGTATGTTGGGAGGATGGAAAGGGGGGAAGAATATTTGGAGAGTTTTCACCCCTCCATTAGCACTGCCCAGTGTGGCATGCATCTTTTATGTCACAGTGCAGGGAAACTGTTTGACACTCACTGGCACTAGCCTTGGTGCATTGAGCTCAAATTTCCTATAATCAGAGGATATATGACCCTAGTGCCACAGCCATTTTCCAGTTTTAATGTTTTATTTGAAAATGCCCTTCTGTTATGCTGTGCCTAAACTCATGTAATAATGAATTCCAGTGGAAAAAAAAAAAAAAAAAGAAAGAAAGAAAGAAAAGGCCAAGAATCCAACAGGTAAAATAAATTTCCACTCTTTTTTTTTAACTTTAAAATATAAATTTTAAATATTTTTATGCATAAATTATAGTTTGAGTCTGGGTAATTAGTAGAAAAGCGTTTTTCTTGGCTTCAAGAATTTCCTACTTTACAAAACTTAAAATACAGGCAAGCTGTAAATGGTTCTAGTTCAGGCAATGTTTTGGCAATTTAATTACTATAAAATGTGAATCCTGTGTTTGGTGGTTTTACCTTGTAAATAGAAATAGAAGGAAGGGAAAATAGGACTCTACATCACAAACCCTCTAAGTCCAAAACAAAATATCTACTGTCTTCTGTGTGGAATGCATTTCATCTGAGGAAGTTTATTTACATATTATCTATCTATTGTGTACTGAAATGTAAATAAGACCCATTGGGCCATATTTTCAGCTGTTGTTAATAAATTCTTGCTCCGTTGCATTGGTAATTTACACCTGCTGAAGGAGCCACTATATACAATTCTTGCAATGTTCTTGCCTGTATCTGTTTTTAGGGCTTGTGGAGAGAGATTTTAAACACTTGCAACTCAGAGTTTAGTATGTCCCACAGCTGCACTTGCATTTCCACTTGGAATAGATATACCCTCCAAAACCTTCTTCTGACCACCTGCAGTGCGTAATTTATTCTGAGTGCTTCTGTGCTATGTTTTCCTCACTTCTTTTAAACATTGGAAGATTTTGCGTTCCTTCCTTGTTGTTCTTTCAGGCACTGCAGGTACTCTGATGCTCCTTCACTTCATTTATGATTGGAGAATATTACTTCCCTTGTACTAATGGCCTGCAGAAGAAATGAGTGACATTCCCTTTTCCTTTCTAATACATGTATTATAGTGGTCTATAATTATCCCATTCATTATGTTTGGTGATCTGTTTGGCCCTCCTCTTTCTATTAACCAAACTATTTCATAATACTATAAAATAGCTGACATTTTATCTTAACAAATATTGCTTTTCATCATGAAGGCAAACAAAACCAGCCTAAGGGTGTGATTAGCAGTAACAGTACAGATTATGTTGGATAACCTGCTGATATGAAATATCTTGGCTCTGGAGAGTTTGTTATCTAGAAGGTAGCCATAGGATAAGTGCTTTTTAACATACACAGTAGCACATTAAGTTGTTTGCCACTGGGTTTTTTCCTCTACTCTCTGCCATTTAGTCACTCAGTTTTTGTTCCATTCTCCTAATTCTCAGGTTACAAAAATTGTGTGACTGTCATCAACCATCACCACCACCTCCGAGCAAGTCCCAGCTACTCTGCAGCACCATCTACAGAGGACCCAGGATACAGCTGGAGAAATGTGATTGTAAGTGAACTGATTACTAGTAACAGAGTCAGACATAAAAGAAAAAATCGCTGCCCACTTCTGTTTTCTAATACGAATCATTATGCTAACTCTATCAGAAATTCAGCCTGGCCAGGTACGATTCAGATGAAATTGCCTTGGGAAATATTTGCAAAACATGTTTCATAGTGTCCTTTTGAATTCATCTTAGCTCTTTGCCTCTCGTGCTACTCTTGTGGTTCATCATGTAACATGACAACTAAAAACCTAAACTACTAGTACAGTAGAGAAAGAGCTTCTCTGTATTACCCAGGAATAGGCAGAGAACAACTTCCAACCCCTGCATAGTTTCTGCTGCTGTAAGAAAGTACCACACCTTTGATTTCTTCTCCAGTAGTTTGCTTTAAGAGTGCTGGAAAAACCAGCATTATCTGGATTCTGAGCACAGCTTCAGCCTGCAGAGTCCATAGTCATTCTTAAAAACACTGGGAGTGTGGCCACCAGGAGTGATGGAAAATTAATATTGCAAGGGAGATAATTTCAGGTAAAGAGATTCCACAAAAAACAATTTTCAACCAGCAGATCATCGACAACGTGACACAGGAACTACAGAGTCTGTAGGGATTACTGTCCAGGTGGCCCTTGTCTTTTACTAACTCTGAAAACAGAGTCCACTTTTCCTTCTCTGCTTCCAGAAGAAGGGTTGAAGGTCCAGAGTGAGGCAATTACTCTGTTTTCCCTTTTAATTTCTCCCCTGGTGGGCAGTCCCTCCCACCAGACATAAATTGTTACAGGTACAGTGCACTGCATGCCTTTGTGACTGAGAAAAGACTTTCCAGGGTGAGATGATGAAAGGTTGCATTCTGAAGGCTTCAGGCAATTAATTACTACAAGTTTTTTTTTTCCTTTAGAGAATGTACTTTATTAGTAACTCTTCATTGTCTTAATTCTTGAAGAACACTGCAGAGGATTTTTATGCAGATGAGACTGTCTACCATACGCCGCAGAATACTCCAGAAAGCCAAGTGATGCATGCAGCTGCTGGCCAGCCAAAAGCAGGGAAAGGTGTGTAGAAAGAGTATGTCTTGATACGTACATTATGTTACTTTTAAAAAAATCTCTTGGCAAATCATGCTTTCTCCTTTTCCTAATTTTTTTACTTTTAACAGGAAAAAAATAAGTTATAATTTAATATTAACTAGAATACAACCACTAGCATTCAATTCCTATCTGCTAAATCTCACACGGTAAGATAAATCTGTTATCATCTTATTCTCTCCTGTTATTTAGTAGATGGAAAAACAAACCAAAGATACATTTCACTCCAAATCATCTGGGATGAAGTCTGATGCAGAGAAGTAAATCTAGCTCTCAATAATGTCTTTATCCATTTTAACAACTTATTTTATGTTATGTGGGCCAACAAGGAGTGGTTTTCTTGCAGTTTTTTTCACATGCATGAATATTTTTATACCTTTCTATTTTTTAGTTTTCAAATTACCTCTTAGCTTTTGTGACTTCCAGTGTGCATTTTTATATCTATTTTTGTGCTCCTTTTAGTTGACTTTACTTGAGTGGTTATTGATTTTGTAAAGCAATATCAGGTGACATTGTTCATTACAGTACTTAATTTGTTCATTGCATTCATTCTTTATTTTTTGTTTGGAACACAGCATCCTCTCTATGACTCTGCTAGTTGAGATTTCCACAACTTCCACCCTGAGCTGTTGTATCTACTTTTGACCGTGGGGTCTTTTTGAGTAGCTTCCTGGTTTTACTGCTTTTTGAAATCCCCTTCTCCCAACTTTAACCACATGCTGTCTGCTTTTGGCATCATCTCTTCCCATTGATGCTGAACACTGTGGTTTATGTTGCTTAATAGCTACTACTGCTACTACCGCTACTACAAATTCCTTGGGATGATGGGAAGAGTGGTCTCTCCTTTTAAGTTCTGTATTTCTAGTGCTTGAAATTCACCATTGCAAGTGAAAACCTTTCAATCCAGAAATGTTGCTTTTCTAAGTCTTACCAGTGTTGCACTGGGGAATTTTACATCAGTATCTGAATTCACCTTCACTTGTTATTGCTCTGTTCAACTTCATTTCTTATTTCATCTTTAACATTACTATCAATCCTCTTTTCCAGAACACCATACTGCAGAATTTTTTGAATATTTTTATGGGGTTTTTTGTGTCCTCTTACGGGTTTTCTTTGTGTCCATGGTGATATTCCAGTCAGAAACTGTGATTTGGGGTACTATTTTTAATATATCTAAATAAATTTAATCCATGTGGCTTCTTATTGAGACGTGAGAGGTTTTCTGTACACTGGCAAGTAGTGTGGCCCTTTAGGAATAGATCTGTAGATTAAACATTCAGTTTCATCTACAGAAGACCCAAAGTCAATGTTTAAAGTGTTTCACAGGGGTTTAATTAGGGTAATCTCTAGGCTGGCCTCAAGTTTTGAAAGCTTCAGTGACTTAGATATGCTTCTGGAAAACATCTTTAAGTTAGATTTCCTCTGAAAGGAGTCTGGTTCATGCATGTCAAGACCATTCCATGATCTGAACTAAGGCTCAGTGAGTGGAGACCATCAGGTGAGGTACTTCAGAAATGCATCTGAATTAGACACACTCAGAGAGAATTAGGCTGCTTTGGGACAATTCGGCACAGAAATATAATGCAGATGCTCTGAAACACCTTCTGGAGGAACCTGCCTCTCTCCAGTGACCACATAAGAAACCTGTGGACACCAGGCTGCTAGCTTGGAGTGATTCTTAGGGCCTGGTAACAAGTAACACTAGCTTATGCAGTGAGAAGCAGTACTAAGATATGTGAACTAACAGCCAGCTCAAACTGGTGCATCCACATTTTGTAGCACTTTGGAAATAACAGCTGAACTCTAGAAACATAGCTGCATTAACACTTAAGAGCCAATAAGCCCTCTCAAACCAAGAGCTCAGCTAGAGACGATGTGTCTAGAAATAAAAGCTTGGGCAGAAATGACAGCTGAACTAAGAGGATAGATAGCATGAAATCAGACGCTGCTGCAGACACGGCTACACTATCGTTTTCCAGCAGAGACTCAGTCTGCAGTAGTCTGTGGATTTTCCCTTGATCTTATTTGTTCTACTATAGGTTCATATGTTTATAGGATAACTTGGATTGGAGAGGACCGAAGGAAGTCACTTACTAAGAAGTGTTTACTGTGACCAGGCAGGATCCTTCACTGGTTTGCTTTTAAACTTCTCATCTTGCTAATACTATATGCATTTGCAGTAGAATATGTCACAGGCCAACTTTTATTTAGATAATGAAACTTTACTAATTTTTTGGAAAGTACCTCTGATTTCAGGCTCTTCTTCTTCCTAGTCTGACTGTCACTTCTCTCCTCTTTCCTTTACCACCAGATGCAGAATTACTGTCATCCCTAACAGATGTCTTGGCTTGACCTCAGTGTTCCTTAGCAACTGTCATTTTTCTCCCATTCCTAGTTTAAAATAGCCATTCAAGACAAGACTTTATGAACTTTAGGTGCAGCTGCTTGTTTCCATTTTGGTTAAAGTGGAAGCCATTCTTCTGCATAGACTCTCCTTTCTGCAAAATGTTCCTCTTTGTCTCATAATCTTCAATTCTTCCTCCTTATGGCAGCTTCTTGGTCACCCTTGGCTTGGTGAAGGGAACTAGAAGTACTTCAGAGAGAGGGATGCACAAGACCTATGTGAAACTAAATATGTGTCATGAGCAAACTTAAGTTTGAGAGCTGAGTCTGTAGGGAGAAGCACTTAGTTAACTGACAAATATTGCAGTATCAAGCTTGTTTTATTGTGCATGGGAACGCAAGTTGACACTTGCAGATTTTTAGAAAACTACAGGACAAGAGAAGGCCCAGCTCCTTATTGACTAGGTGAAGTTTATAGTTCAAAACCTGCTTGCTTTACCCACTTACCCTTTCTTATATCAGAGACTACCTTGCATCTACAAAATATTCCTGAAACAAACCTGACAAAATTGAGTAATTGCAAAATCTTTGAGTTCTGATTAAGCAGGGAAAACATTTATTAAAAAACATTCAGATTGGCTCTACAGAACCTCTCTCCTGCACTGTCTGAGGATATAATTTCTTTCAGTGAGTTCCTTGACCATGCACCTGCACAACATGTGTCTGAAAGTGGCTTCTGAGACCTACCATGCAGTCAAGTCACCAGATATTTGTCATAATCCCCAAATAACCTGCTCTTGAAACTCTAATGACCAAATCCCTTTCTGTCACCACAGATCTGTACATGTTTCAGAACTATCATCCCATTTGCTGTTGCTAGTCTTCTATTGAATAGTTTATACTGATCTTTTAATTTGTGACGAGGTATTTAGGTTTACCTATGCTTTTGCCTGTAAGATTCTTTCCAGGAAAAAGACAACTGCTCAACTTTTAAAACAAGTATGAGTTCTGTTCTGACCTTTTGTACTTTATTTCTTAATAGGTAGAAAAAAGCTTCGACTGTTTGAGTACCTCCATGAGTCTCTGTATGATCCAGCTATGGCAAACTGCATTCAATGGGTGGATAAGCCAAATGGTGTCTTCCAGTTTGTCTCCAAAAACAAGGAGAAACTTGCAGAGCTATGGGGAGAAAGAAAGGGAAACCGCAAGATCATGACATATCAGAAAATGGCCAGAGCACTGAGGAATTACGGAAGAACAGGTGAAATCATTAAAATTCGAAGGAAGCTGACATACCAGTTCAGTGCTGTTGTTTTACAGAGACTTGCTCCATCTTACTTCTTGGGAAAAGAAGCAGTTTATCATCCATACATTCAGTCTAACCAAGAATATCAGTGTGCAGATGACTGGATCAGTTACAATAATTACATGTATAACAATGGTTATGCATTACAGCATGCTAACAGCTAGGCATATCTTTCACATAAACAGGCTTTCGTTAACTAGTAATACTTTCCAGCACAGGAACTCTTCTCTGTACATAGCTTTTCCTTTAAGATAACAACAAGCACATGAAGAGAAGGGTTTTGAAAATGATGTCCTAGTTTTATTCCTTTTGAGGTTAATGATAAATGGTCATTGACTGTTGAAGAAAACCAGCAGATGTAGGGCCTGTTCTATTATCCATGATGTTAATCAGAGGAATTATTTCAGATTCAAGCTGGTACATCCAAGATGATGATCAAGGTTTTTGTCTGTTATTGGACATCAAAGATCCCATCCTGACAACAGTCATTGTAAGTTTTATGCATGTCTCCAACATTTCCAATCAGAGTTTAGGTGCTGTTGTACCATAGCTCATGCACTCCCTATATATTGGGTGCACAAGAATTAGAAAGGGAAGAAATTTGCCAACTGCATGAAGCTACTGTCTGCTTTATTCATCAATGTTCTTTGTTAAGAGACATTCTCTGAGTGAATGCCTGGCTGAATGATAGAGTCCACATGAAGGTGCACCTGTTGACCAAGTTGTTAATCCTTAATCACTTAAATTAACATATTTTAGCACAGATCCTGACATATGGTATTAGCATTGCCAGGTGCACATTTCACTGTTGGCAGTGGATTCATTGGGAAAGTGACCATACCATGAGAGGGTTAGTAAAGGATTATGCTTTTCATGAAGTTATTTACAGTTCTTCCCCTACTAATATGAGAAGCTGCACTTTGATCCAGCAGTTCTGTACTCACCTAACAAATATAGCTTTGTTATTTATAACCTCTTTTGGAGTTATAGCTTTATACATATCAACACAATTTAACTTCTCCAACTCTTTTCCTACCTGGGAATGCAGCTAAGACTCAGTGATTTTACACAATCTTTATGGGGAAGAATGTATGTAAATTTATGTAAAAAGAGAGTACTTGGCCCTGACACTAGGATGATACCTGTAATTCTACTTTTTCTAATATTTCTGTTACCTGATCAACTTGTATCATCGTATAAGTTGCCTGTTGTGCCAAAACAGTTCCATCCAACTGCATTCAATTCCAAGTTCTGTATTTTGCTTCAAGTGAGTGAAGGCCCAGATCTTAATAAAGACAAAATTAATTTCTGTGGAGAGGTATAAATGGTGGCCTGATATGTTTGATAAAATTCACTGACTTTGATAGTTACACTTTGCTCTAACTCTTGCTTACTTGTACAGGGATGTAATTTTATGCAATAGACACAATGCAACACACTCCATTCAAGCAAAATTTGATGTTTTGAGTAACACTTTGGTAAGATGAAAGATGCGTGCTCTTCGAAACCTGAAGCATGTTAAATAGCACTAAAACCAGACCCAGATTTTAAGTCAGTAAACATCTGCAATAGTAAGAAGATCACAACTGTGTTTTTAATATTTCGAGTGTAGTGTTTTGTAAAATGTAAACTTTACTACAAAATATACATAAGGATGCCTTTGGTCTTACAGAACTGAATCTGGATCCTGCTGTAGTACTGAATGCAGTAAGAGTTTAACTCTTACAAAGGACTGAGCTCTTTCAGTTGGGATGCCTCGCTATTCAAGCACATATGCAAATACAACATTTCAAATGTCATAATGTACATAAATTTTCCAAGAAGCTGCAGAGTTTAGTTACTTCACATCCGTCATCCATTGCACACTATGTTATTTACAAGGCTGGTAACATACACTGAGTTAAGATTCTGCTTTGTGTAAAATGCTTACTTTAGCAATATGTTTAGATTCACTTTCCTCAGCTTCATCTACTTGTTAAGGAAATAAATACTTATTCAGATCCTGTGTTACCTTTTTAGCTTAGGTATATACTTTAGCATTTGCTTCTTGTAAAACTGGTAACCAGGTGAGATGTTATAGCTGCAGCTGGGAGAACAGTAAGGAGCTGAAAGAAAAGATCACAAGGGGTAAGAACTACTGAAGGAAATTCAGGCAGAGAAGAAATGAGGGAATCATAGTATCTGTGGATAGGAATAGACAGACTTCAGCCACAGGAGTAACCATGGGGACTGACAGTGTTAGAAAGAAATTTATTTGCAAAAACAGTAGTCCTGTCTTCCAGCCCCCCAGTCAAATTTACCTGGAGAGATTTTAGAAGCTCCTGCTGTAGTTTTGTGACTACACAGAAGGATATTTAATTGTGCAATGCACTGATATTGGGCTTACATAAAGAAAAGATTTTTGACTGATAGCAACACTTTAACCTAGCAAAGGCAGGTTAAATCATAAGCAAAAGCCTTAAATCATAAACCTGCCTTTAAACAAGACTGACAAATATCTGAAGCGCTGACAGACTCACTGAGGTCTGAAATAAGGTGTAGCTGTTTTTATCTGTGCAAGTGTTTAACCACTAAAACCACACACCAAGAGATGTGGTGGATTCACTGCTTCTCAACATCTTTAACCCAAGATCATATCCATTTCTAAGATGTACAGTACTGCAATAAAGTCATAGTAAAATCATAGCCACACCACAAGACACAAGACTGAATGTAGGACGTCAAACTCCTGCTAGACTCAGTATTTGCAGTATCCTGCCATGTAACTCCATGCAGGAAATTCAAGGCTACATGTGGAGATCTAAAGAGAACTGAGGTGGGTGCTAGTAAGGCACGTTGTTTCCCAACACAATTCCCTGTACATTTCACCCTCCATCACTGTCCTCCCACTCTCAGCCTCTGCCTTACATCTCCTCCCTCCCATCTGCACTGGCTTGGGTGCAAGATTTAACAGTGCCAAGCACTCAGAGGAAACACAAGAGGCAGGTTCCAAGACAGCAGCTTTATCCCATCTACAGAACTCTTGGTAACTGGCCCCTCGCTGCCATTGCTGACTTCACCTTTGTCTCTCTCCTGTCTCTTTTCTCCTCAGCCCCAGCAACCAAATCGGGCCAGAGAGCGGTCTGCCTGCCCACCTATCTGCCTATAATTCACACTCACCGCTGACTCCAAGGCTGCATCTTCCCTCAGAAGAGGCTGGGATAGGGCCTAGGAGTGGGGAAAGCAGCTGGACTCCTCCCAGCTCCCACACTCAGTACCCTACTTTAAAGGACATCCCAGTCTGAGCAAGGTGCCCTGTACTGAAGCCCTGCGTGTAACTAATGCTCTGCCTCATGATGCTTCGGGCACTGAATGAGGACAGGAGCCTTTCAGAGTGAAGTATGCCTCTGAAGAGATTGCAGAAATCCTCTTGCACAGGGGTAGCTAAACGTGTGGACAGTGTCCTCATTCATCCCTTGCGCAGACTTTGCTGCCTGGTTTCTCCTCACAGGTGGCAGACAAGGTCAGAGGGCCCCAGGTGAGCGCTGGCCTGGTGCCTCTCCCCAGCACGCAGTTCTTGTTTGCTCAAGTGACCACAGCTGGGCTGTCCTGCCTTGTATATCTGCTGTAGCTTCAGCGTTGTCCTCTGATGGAAGGTCCCTGTGCTCCAAGCTGGGATGGTGTGAGGTGGGGTTGCACGTTGGTGGAAAGACCTTTGCGTGTGGTGGGGTAGGGGGGATGGCGCTGGGCCCACAAGATGGCACTAACAGACAGCGTTTCACGCTGGGTTTGCGATGCCTGCAGGCCTCGTGGTCGTTTGTTCTCTGCACGTCCCTTTTGTATTTTCTTTTCTCTCTCTCTTTTTTTTTTTCCTTTGTTTAATTTTTTGTTTTTATCTTCGTGCACAGCACTGCTGCAGATGTGGCAGAAGCAACATTTTTCTTGTTGAAGTTATTACCAGGCCAGTTTGAACTGTGGCAAATACAGAAAATGTTGTGACTAAGATGATGATATGAAACCCACAAATTAAAGTAGATATATTATGTCAGCAGATCCACAACTCTGTCATCTCCCTTGGACAACAGTCAGTTTTACAGCTGCAGCTCAGCATTTTCTCCAAAATAAGTGTGGCTGCAGTGGCTTCCAGCGTGGCTGAGAGTGGTGCATAACAATGAAATAAAACTGATCTTTCAGATTTAGACTTCTAAATTCCTGTAAGCAGGAATTACTTTGACAGCCTTACAGACTTTGTGAAGGAAACAGAATGAAGTCATTTTTGTAACACATTTTATCTTCCCCACTTTTCCTGACCTATGCTGTGCTTACATTTATATATTCTGTCCATCAGACCAAAAGCAGGAGAGATTCTTAGCTTCCAGCTGAGAAATTATTTGATTTTATTTAATTTGATTTTAATTTAACTCCAGTGAAACTTTTCCCCTTGGTAGCACTTTGAGCATACATTGAGTACCTACCTCCACCTTGTCAGACACTTACCAGATGTGCATTGTCGTGACAGATGGGTCAGACTCTCCCACCATCCCAAGTGCAGATGGATGCTGTCTCATGGAGAGTGTTGCGTTACCAATTCCTCATTTTTACAAGCTGAGATCTTCTCATATCATATCACAGAGCTTCATGTGCTGGTTTACCATTAGTACATTGCTTAGTGAGTATAAGAAGGATGCAAAATACTAGAGTGGTGTGATTTTTTGCAAGAAACTGCCCCATGGATTGTTTCCTTAAAAGTATCCCAAGTGCCAGATGTAAACAGAATTGTGTAATCTCCTTTTTTTTGGTTAATGAGAGCTGCCTCTGCATTCTTGGCAACATCTAAACAACCGTAGCTAATTGCCTAATAGATGAATAACTGGTGTATCAGGGTTAACACTGGAGCTCAAGTCAGGTGTTCAGGCTTTTTTCTAGCTAGGTTTCATTGACCTTGGCAATTTTTTCCTAGTTTCCTGGTTTCCAAAACTTCTTTTACAAAGGCGGTCAGGGAAAACTCCCAGACTGTCTCTATATTGCAGGAGCAGACTCCTACATCTGAGCACAAGCTGAGGGCAATGACATTGCAGGTGCCTACTGCCATCTGCATGAACAGATTCACTTGAGGGACTGGCCAGAGTTTGAGACCATAAAGCAAAATTTACAGTTCAAATCTTTTTTGCACTATGGTTTTTGG